TAAGCCGGGCATCGTTCTCTCTTTGTTTGGTCATGCAAAGTGCCGCATCTCCCACATTCTTTAGTTGCGTGTTTGTCGCCGTGACGTTTTCGTCTCCATGGGACTTCAGGCTTCTTGCTTTGACTTGTGACTGCATTTATTTGTCCTGAAGGTTGCTCGACAAGCTTCATTTGAGCTATCGTACTCTCCGAGGCCCTGCAGATTTCGTCTGTTTTGTCTAGCGTTAACTTAGTCTCTCTTAAGAGTCTCTCCCTTAGCTTGTTGTCTCGAACACCAAACAGAAGGCGGTCACGAAGGATTTCATCAGGCGTGATTGTTTCAAAACTACAGCCCTCGGCTAACTTTCGTAGAGAGGTACGATACTGATCGTAGGTTTCTCCTGGCTCTTGAACTCGGCGGTTAAACTTGTATCTCTCGAAAGGAATATTTTTGCGTGGTTCGCAATAATCCCCGAACTTCTTCAACACAGGCTTAATTTTCTTATCGTCGCCGTCTTCTGCCCAATCGTTAAAGGTAGAATACACCTCTCTTGCTTCTTCGCCAATCACTGTTAATAGTGTGGCCACTTGAACAGGCTGACCCTTCTTGTTTAACTCTGTTGCAAGTGCGTAATTCTCCCACGCCAGGAGGAACTTTTTCCACCTCTCTGCCACGTTGGGGTCGTGTATTTCAAGGGGTGCTGGCGGCGGTAACGAAAATCCAGAGGCCATACTCTTGTTGACTTGTTGGCGATTGGCTATGTGTAATATGTTACCACTATAGCTCTCCACTCGCTGCCACCATGTAAAGACACGCGAGTAAATATATCGTGTTTAAGCAAACGTTGTTTATTGCGGAACAGGCTTTAAATGAATGAATACATGTGCTTGTGGCTAGCCAACAAATAACTAAACTATTCGGTAATATAAAACGCTAAGGCATACTATAAGTTCATTGAGTTCTTGTGGTTTCCGAGATAAGCCACATTTCGTTACATAAGTGAGGCTTGTGTTTTTGCTGTGCGCATAACCTGAAGTCGCTAGAACCTGCCACAGGGCTGTGCCCCCCCCCCCTTATTACGCCATCTTGTAGTAATTGTCTTATTTGCCCGCGTGCGCTATTTAGTTGTGTTACCTTTTCATGCGTATCTTAAGCGGAATAGTGACATTAATTTCCTACTGTAATAAAACTATTAGCCATATTCATTTGTACAAAACAAAGGTCACAAGTTGTTGGTACAGTAATAGCTGGCTAAAACCCTAAAGGATCATTCAATGAAACAACAGAGGCTCTACAGATCTGGAAACAGGTAGACTGAATGAACAAAAACCTAGAATAGACTGCACTGGTATAACTGAAAAAAAGTAAGAATGCTGGAAAGATATATTTTTTTTGTTTGTTCTACATGAAGCTTGATTTAATATTGCTTAGAGGTAATTTCTTCTCTAAGGCCAAGTTTCATAATGAAAAGTACTGTAATTGCCAAAACTAAGCGAAATATAATAACATTCCTTGTAGCTGCCTTATTCAACAATCATTAAGTTGTACTGTTGCTGGGACAGGCAATTTTCCTCCACCATTAATTCAGGAATGAGGGTTAGGGTATAAAATAAAATTTACACTGACGGAGTTCTTGTACATCGCACTGCTTTTGTAATTAATTTTCATGACACTGTCCTACTTTCACAAGAAGTCTGCATGACCGTTTTACGTATACTACTTTTAATCAAATGGTGAAACTCTGTTAATACAGACACTAAGGAGACCATAAAAAATTAAAAAGCTGCTGCTAGAGATATAAAACTGCACAATACATGTAGCATCATTAAACTAAACAATCTGTGAACATTGAAATGCTGTCTCAATGAAGTAATATTCTCTTCAAAGCAAATGTACACTGCACAATGTAGGTCTTATTACAACAAACAGTTGATAAGGAAAAAATCGTATCAGTAATATTAATTAACAATTATTCCTCGAGCCTGAATGGGCTCTGAGTCGATAGCCCATGAGGCTGGAGGCCAAATAGGCTATTAACTCAGGGGCCATGAGGGCGAGAGGAATAATTGTTTTAGTAAAATCCAACTAGTTGGTCAAAAATATATATCGAGAATAAAGAAATTTTATCTAGTTAAAGCTAGACTTTAATCCTTTTTTTTGCTGCCAAAACGCCCGTGCTTTTCGCTACTAGTGCAGGGTTGTCACTAAGATTTCAAGTTGTAGGTTAAATACAACAAGTAGGCAGGGAATCAAACAGCTAGGGGTTTCTTTTGGTTGTATTTTCTTTTATTTTCCTTTGAAAGTAGCCGGAGGCCATGTTCATAGTAGCCGGGGGAAATCCCCGGCTCCCGACTCTTAATGACAGCCCTGCTAGTGGGCTATAACATATAGCCTAGTAGTAGCTCAACCTAGATGGATTTTACTAACGAAGATTAGTCGTGACTGAATCTGTTGACTGAAAAAAGGTTTTTGTATTCTTTAAGTTATTATTACTAGCATTGTCCTAATAATTATTATCCCATGGGTGTCTGTATAAAATTATTTGAATTTAGAGAAAAAAGTGAGGATTAATTCTCTGACATACAGATGTATAGGTCCTAGGAAAACTATTTTTTATGACAAGGAGCTTGTATAAAGCGGGTGTCCATAAGAAAAGGTTTGGATTTGATAAATTACTGTTTTTTAGTGAATAAGGTCAAAATGAACAAGGGAAACAAAATTAATGCTTCTGTAGATACAGTGTAGCAGGCTATACAAAGAAACTGGCAGGGAAATCTACATAGCTTAAATAAACAACAGTTCTTTGGGATTGTCAGAAAAGGACATTACTTGTATATTTTCAGAGAGTTTAGTACAAGAATGGTGCAACTAAATGCTCGGGTGGTATTGCTTTTCAATGAAAAAGTTGGAGACATGAATATATATTCAGTGATTTTGGTTACAAATAGTTATGGTGAGTCCTGGGACTCATCTTGTGAAAAATATTGAGTCCCAGTACAGAAACATTGAGTCCCAGGTAAAAAATAAATATATATACAAGTTTGTAATTGAAAATGCTTGGGCCTTTGTGTAACCAGACAGTTAATCTGACTTAATAGCTTGACAGACTCCAAAACTCTGCATGTATTACTGCAGTACACTGAAATTAAAATATAGTCCTTCTAAAGGCTAAAAGAAATATGTATCCTTCAACAAAGCCATAATAACTGCCACAGAATACACAAACGGGATGTTTCTACAAATACACGTGTTCAGTTTTTTTATTGAGCTTTGCGACTATCGAAATGCATACCATGAATATTATTATATTTTGCGTCTTTGGGGATTTTTATGGATCAGGAATGCAGGCTGCAGAGTCACTGCATATTTTTTTGTACAGACAAGAAATTATTAGAAGATTTTGTTTTAGAATGTAACCAATGAAAATACTGGATGTGGTTGTTGCTTCTCCAGAAGCTACATTGTATATAGCTGATTCAGTAAAGGTTGGCTATCGGGCATACCAAACAATGCAATGATTTCCCTGAGTGACCACCAAACAATAGCTTACTATTGCTCAATTCGCAATGCCCAAAGCAACCTTTATTAAACCAGCTGTACCTGTGTGCAATGTATGTATAAGGTCCTGATTGTTTACATGTAACAAACTAAATGTCAAAATATCATGTTCCTGAAACTTTTTAGGAATTCCCAAGCAGAAAAATAACCATTTTAGGCTTAATTGAGTCAAAATAATAAGTTAAATGTCTATAATATATAACTTCATTATTGAATTTTACTTGCCAACTATACATACATTCATTCTCGCAAGACCTCACAAAATAATATTTGATTCCACTAAAATCATCATGAAGCTTGCAAGGCCTGAGCCAGAGCATTCACTATCGGTTTTTTGGTTTGGTATTGCTATGTGTGAGCGAAAGAGGACGGACACAAAGCTTACTGACAGTGAATCAACGTGACACATTTGGCGTGAGAACAACAAGGTAATCTGATCAATTAACTGTAAAGGAAACGAGTCGTTTCGATACGAACTTAAGCAGTGAAACTGCAAAAATATTGCGATTACCTGTATAGTTATAGCGCGTGAACAAGAAAAACATATGTCGCGAAATATTGGTTGTACACCTCGACTGGATCAAATTTGTATCTGAACGAGTTGTATCGCCTGGTGCATCAAAATTACTTTATCAAAACGACCGGTAAGCGAACACATATAAACACAAGCCAAAATACTTAATGACTCTTGGTAATAAATTAATTGCCAACTCTCTTCGAAATGCCATATATCCAACTGTCGTTTTCATAACGAGTATGCATATACGTTCCAATATTAAACAGACTATTTTAAAATAACGAATAATCGTACTCACACTTTATTCGCATCGCGAAGACTCAAACAGTACGTGTGTCCACCAGTTGAACTTAGATCCGTTCCTTTAAAAGTAAATCCCAGTCGCTGACGATTCGGAGACATTTTGATTCGTGATTAAAACAAAATCTGTGGGTCTGGACAGTCCACAGAATTGACAAATACTCTTTTTGTGCAATAAAAGAGCAACTCAACGCCAGTTGCAACCATCAACAGCCGTCCGCCATAATTTAAAAAATACAAAGATGCTTTGTTCCTTAGCACGTGGTTATACCACGTGACTGTTGCGCGTGAAGTGCCCGGTGTGCTTGGCGCTTGCTAAGTCGAGTTCAGGGGCTGATAAAATTTTATTCATCCAGTATGATTTATAAACGTAAGATAACGATGTGGAGGAATTTCTTGAGCGTTTGATTCTTCATGCAACACGAGAGATGAGCGTTTATTTATATCATTTTGTTTAGGGCTTATTTTATCTTTGTTCACCGTATCCGGTTCTACGCGCACGGTTAACTGTGGGTCTGTGTCAAAATCGATTAGATTATTTAGATTACATTGTATGTTAATAATGTTACGTTATGGTTGATGCGAATTTTAGAAGTTTCAAAACTTATTGACTGATCAATGATTGATTTAAAATCTGGCTGTGTAGAGATATTCACAGAGAGATTCGATGAATAACGATTGGGGATCGATTGATCTTTAACACTGCCACACACTGTGACACAACGTGCGTTATCAAACCGGTCGATGCATGGAATGCATGCACATTTCGATACTTTATTTGACTGATGAAGTTTAAGGCTGATTGTTCGTTTTCGTTTGGAGATACATTAGCTCCCAACTGTATGACAGCTGTGTCTTGTTTTCTAGCGGACTTAGGCTTAATAATTTTGTGGCGTGTATACTTACTGGTTACTTATTAAGTACGCGCATAATTAGAAATCGGATGTGTCCAGAACTGAGAATTCTCGTCAAGTTTCGTTTGGATTGACGCCGAAATAATTAAGAGCAATTCTCCAGGAAAGTGAAGCAAAGTTGGAAATGAAAAAATTTTAACCCCCCTTCATTTTTTGTGTGGAGGTAGGTTAGCTGGGGGGATGAACAAAAACAACCATATTTTGATTGGCAGATGTATCGTTGCCATGGTAACCGCACTTGATCGCGTCGGCCAGACGTCTATGTTTTGACCAAAAAATTCACACTCAAGAAGTAAAAATAAACGAGTCTGGTTCTCCGCTGCACTTGAACCAATTCAAATGAAATTCATACAGATGGTAGAGCCACTCTCCCAGTTTATAAAAATTGCCGTTAAAAGATTTTGGGTTTTATAGTCAAGACGAGATTGCTCGTCTACTATGT